AGCACAATATGTTGTGAGAGTGGACCTACAAACTTTACTCCAGGCCGAAGACAAAGGAGTGTTCATTCCGTCGAGATTTCGTGTCAACTCAACCACTGGAGATAAAATTGGATGGACAGGCGGATTGGCTGGGTCGGTGGTTTCCACATTTTTTTTTCATGACGTTTTTTTTGCCTGCCAATTCCAGAATCTACCGGATGTGGGAACAAAGAACAGCTCAAAGAACAGTCTGGCAGACCTTGATCGATGCGACCGCCGATCTACCGCTGAACCGCTATGTCGGGAGTACCTCTGAAAGACACTATTTTCAATCCTGGACTGCATCTATAATGTTGTACTCGTCAAATCTTAGAATGCATGAATTCTATAGCTCGAATCCTTCTTGAGGTAGATGATCTGGGTTAGGTGCACAGGAACTCCCGAGATGAAATGGAGTGGGTCAGCAATAAATTGGCAATCGCATCGATCGAAGGAAGAGGTTTGGTCGATTGGTCTTTTAGTTGTTCTTTGAAGGCCACTTCTGAAAAGTTCAGTGAGACCAATAATCAAAGACTGGCGCTGGAAACAACTACCGGAACCATCAACAGAGACATTCCAGCCGCCTATACCTTGCGGTCGTTAATGACTAATACGGCATGCTCGACGGACTCTGGTGGTCCTCTGTCTATGGATGACAGCATAAGGGTGCACGTCTACTGCCACAATTCATACATCACCCACATTCACCATACCGTATAATACAGTACTACAGTTCTCTTACCTTGATCGTTATAATGTGCTATAAAAATTTTGATTCAAACTACCGATCAGAGCTTTTATAGCTCTAGAACTAAAAAAGATGTTCAGACTGCACCTTAAGCTGTTCATTTCAGCTTCCGATATCAAGGTTCCCATTTTAAAAAATGTGGATGTTAAATTTATATTAGATCCAAACCAGGTGACTCTTTCCCTCTACAGAAGCTCAGCAGCCGACTAGCATTCGCGTTTGAAATAACCAAAGAAAAGGTGGAAAATCAATTAGAGAAAACATAAGTCGCTTAAAAGGTTAACAAATTGCAAAAAATCAATTTCTATCAGCTTCCTAATGAATATTTTCCTGGTCTGCTAAAAAAGGCACAAAACAAGAGTGTTCAGTCAGGTTCTGCCTAGAATTGCGATTACTGAAGGATGCCATTTCTTCCGACCTTCTCCCAGATGAATTTCATGTTGTGGGAGATCTTTATTCACATCTGATGTTGAGGATCAGCGAATACCTTCACATTTACATGAGCAATAGGCTTCATACATATCCTCATAGATGACACTGACCACATATCAAACGATATCTATTTTTCTTTTTCGAATTCAAACATAGGCCGAATGTGCCATTCTAAAAACAATCGAATTTGCCCAGGATCAGCAAACACCAAATTTTAGAGCGACTAGAAATAAAAACGTGAAAAACTCGCAAATTCTGCACATTCATTGATTCCCATGAAAATTATGAAATCATTCCGAAAAATGACTGCTAGGCTGCGAGTTAATCAACTCGCTCAGGCCTGGTAGGTCGGACACAAACTTTCAGTATCCAAAGTTCACAAAACAAGTTTCATACACAGGCTGACTTCTCCAGTTAATACAAACAGTGAGTACCGTGAAGATCTCAACTACTCTATGCGTATTTTGTAACTTTGGAGTCCAAAATATAAAATAGTGCAAAGAAATAACGTCAAGTTTACTCTCCATGTGGACCATACAGTAACGCAAATGACATCAGACTCCCTGATCAAATAAAATCAGACCCTCGTTTATTAGACAGGCACTGAACCTGCGAGACACATGATAAAGGTGAGTTCAAATACTCTTTAAAGGGTATAAAAATCAGACGGCAATGGCCATAACCATCACCTTCAGCCCTAATTTCTTCAATACCGCTAATTTCCTAGTGACACTAACTTGAGAATTTATCGTAGAAATTTAGTATATAAAACTGAAATTCAGATTGTCCTTCTTTTCTACTTTCGAAGAAAGCCTCGTAAAACATAAAGAAAATTTGGCAAATTCACCTTGTTGAAAACATTTCATTTCAAGGTTACTGCTGTATTACCCCTTACCAGTGCCTGTTCATTCAAATATTTCGATCGCTTCGAGTTTGTGGCTAAACTCGACTCTTCCTTGAAATTCATTAATTTCAGATGCACTCAGTATATTTCCTGCTGGTCCTTGCTATTTCAGTAGCAGCGGCACCAAAGAAAGACCAAGACGGTCCCGAGATGGTATGTTTAAAAGGCTTGATTGATCGATTTGAGAGGATTCCCTAGAGTGCTACTTGAAAACATTGTACGAGTAGGCACAAGGGCCGAAAAAATAGAAATTCAATGTTTGAAAATGAAATAAATGCCTAAATAGAGCATCCGTACATCTCTTTAATCGATTTTTCAAAAGACTCGATGCTTAAATCCCTCTGTTCCTAACAATTGCCCAGCCTTTTTGTGAGGAACGTGATCAAAGCTCTAACTAGTGACGGAAGGCATCTGATTTCTGATTTCTTCCTAGCATCAAAAAATGATGAAGATTTGGAATTTCAGTCAGATATTTCAGTTTTCACAAATTTATTGGCTACCTAATATTAGGTGTTTCAGAAAGTTCTGTCGGTTTTGAACGCCTAATTTTCGATGCCCATATCTCGGCTCAAACAGAACTTTATCAATCGAGATAAGAACCATTGTTGTCTACACACTTTTGCAAACGAGTAATAAGTTTGCATGTCCCGGTTGCGTAGAACTCTAGAGATCTAGAGGCTATGAATTCGAGGAAGGTGGATTTGACATCGTGTCGATTATTCAAGCGTTTCTCTCAGAGGAAGTTGTCGAGATGCTTAAGAAAGTGGCAGTCGGTTGGAGCGAGGTCAGTTGAGTACGGTGGGTGTGGCAGAGTTTCATAGCCAAGCTCGTTCAATTTCCTCAGGGTGGTCTGTGCGACATTAGAGCGCGCGTTGTCGTGGAGAAGGATCGGCCCCCTCCTGTTCATCAATCCAGGGCTCATGAGCTGCAGCTTCTTTTCATTTCGTCGAGATCCTGGCAGTATCTTTCAGCTTTGATAGTTTCGCCCTGATCCAAAAAGTTGTGATGAATTAAACCAGCCGTTGACCACCAAACTACCACCATCACCGTCTTCGAGACGCTCGTCGCCGTTACGGGATTTCTCGAACCATCGCTGTACAGTAGGTACATTTGTTGTTCCAAGACCAAACGCTATGCTGATATCTCGATTCTTGTCCGCTGCATTCCTGTCTAGTTTGAATTCGAAAAGGGAGACGGTGCGAACCTGTCGTTTGTCTATGTTTTTTCCAAGCTTCTGCAAAAGCTAGGAAGACATTATGAGGCAAAGCTGATGCAACACTCAGAAAGAACAAGAAATGCGCTTCCAAATGGTATAATATATTACGGCAAAGCAACGAAAAATGACTCAGAAAAGAGCGTCTAAAGTGAACGACAGAACTTTCTGAAACACCTAATACATTATTGACAAAGAAATAATCAATGTTTCAGGACAAGGAAGCGACAGATAAGCTTCCTCCCATGGATCCACAGAAAGGAACGTTTTGCATTCTTGGAGGATACAACCCATATTGTTATCCTTACTATTTGAATTATGGATATTATTCACCATTAGGAGGATTACTTTCACCACTTATAGGACTGCTTGGATGGCTTTTGTAACTTTCCTCAGACAATAAAGCTGTTGTCGACCATGAGGACACCGCAAAATTCTATATACGCGGAAAAAAGTTAAAATATAAACAGAAGGTCGAAGAAAACGAACTTCAGAAAACTTCAAGGGTGCAATCTCGAGCGCGATCGATTTTTTTTTCATATTGAATGACAAATGTGTCATTGAATATGAGCGAAATGGGTCATAAGAGCAAGTAACAGACCGGGAAAAGCTGGTTTGAGCAGACGACAACTACTGAATTCCAAAGTGAAAACATCCTAGCCTTAACCAATCAAAAAACGATCAGAAAACTTCAATGAAACGACCAGAAATTCAATAAATTCCAATGAAGACCATCTGCCCAGGCTTAACTTCACTGTCCGATCAATGATTTGACAGTGGCCTTTCGCAAGAACACCTACAGCTGTCAGGAACATCTCCATATACCCTAAACAGCAAAAGGTGCCCCCGAGTACGGACTGTAAGAAAGACTAACAAAGGTAGCAATAGTAATATATGTAGTTATTTGTTATGTTTACGGTAGAGAAAGGGATAAACGCGGTGGCCGTCTTCACGAACAATAAGCCAACCTTAGGAGACTGCCGCATCGCGAACTGCAGAGGATTAGCAGCATTAATAAGAACATCAAATTCCAAGGAATTTTACATTCGGCTATATAGAAGAAATGATTTTGGTGAATAACAAAAGATTTTCCATTCGATAAACGAATTCAAGTAGTCATTGTGATCAATGTAGAATGATGATGGCGTACAGGGCAGACTGACACCCCACCTTGTCTTCCAGTACTGTCTTTGTTCTGGATTTTTTGGCGTCTGAGCTACGGCATGGTACGTGCAAACAATATGGGAGGGTATAAATTTTGAGGGCGTTAGCCATAGCCATCCAGTTCGATCTTCCGAGTTTCCCCAGCTTTCAAAGTATTTGGATTATATGCCCATATATTCTCCGCAGTCAATCGGGACTACATAATTACTAGTTTCGAGTTTTATGAACTTTAAAAACTGTTTTCCTCTCTACAGTAGGAAGGTTTCGAGCATAGCTGTTATGGGAAAACCCCTCACTTAAATAGGCTGAAATTCTTTCAGCGATAGCTTCTCAACTATACAGTATTGCTCTATAGGTCTCATCAGGGATTCATCGATAGTTGTGCACACCCGTCAGCCAGTATGGCGGTAACCAAATCCGGTTTTTGCTAATAATTTATTCATTTCAGATGTTTTTGGCATACATCCTGTTGGCTCTTGTCATTACAGCTGCAGCAGCTCCGAATACAGGGCGAGAGACTTCAAATGAAAAAAGACAAGGGCCACCCAAATTGGTATGTGTGAAAGAACCTTTTCAGGGATTCAGTTCACAAAACAGCATTACCCCAACAAAAGACCCGGGAAATAATGCTATCACAGTACCTAAGATCAAACAAATTGATTGTGCATTAGTTTGCTGTGGTTCTCTTCGATTTGTTTCTTTTCTGTTGGAAAATTTGAAAACCTACAGCGATTTCTTCGGGTCCTGGTAAGGTTCCACACCAGTTTCTCCTTGTACGCTTCAGTCTGAATCGCAAATATCTCGAAGCCGTTAACTGATCAGCACATCACGAGCTAATGGAATCTTCCCTACGTATTACTGTACTATTGGGGACAACTCGAGACAAAATCCGTTTTCTTTCTCATTAACCATCCATACGCGCCGCTTTAAAGGCACCGTTCGCGATGATTCAATGGGTGGGTGTGTCGATGACGTGTCCGCCACTCATTCGACGCCACGTCTGACTGTCTGAAGTGACATCGAATGAGAGGCGGACACGTCATCGACACACCCGCCCATTGAATCATCGCGAACGGTGCCTTTAAATTCTCGGACGCAAGGCTGGCCGTTTGTTCGGAAGGGACTAAATGGTAAGTGATTTGAGCATTTCAAGGCTCATCATCAGCCTTCATTAGCTGTTAGCACTCCCTTCACCAATACTCCCTTCACCCTTTTCCACTCCTCACCAGAGTGTCAAGGTTCTCCTGAAGACAAGAATTTAGTCTCCTCTTTCTCCTGGTCTTTATCAACCTATATCGTACCCGTTATCCGTCATTAGTGGTTGCAATTAAGCGAACAAACACCAACGTTCCAGGACCAGAGCAGTAATAGCCATGAGCTTCTGGTCCAATATACGCACACACACACACCCACCTACACCCGCCCTTATACACACCCGTTTCGTTAGCAAATTAGATAGAGCAGGATTTAAAATCATAACTTTGTTCGTTCAAAAGCGTCTGATACTCTTTGCTTGGCAAGTTAAATGGGCCGCATTCATTTTTTTCTACGGGATCAATAAGTGATGAGTCCTACCCGCGTAGAAAAAAAATTATTTGGGATAGCCCAGTTCATATCAGTTCTTTACCTAAAGCAATCGGGAGAACTCCATATGTTTCAGGACAAGGAGGCTACGGATAAACTTCCTCCCATGGATGCGGAGTTGGGAACGTTTTGCTATCTAGGAGGATACTACCCAACCTCTTATTATTATTATGGATATTATTGCTGTTGCTGCTACTATGGATAATTATCCTTAGACAATAAGATATTGTCGATAAAAGTGTTCAACAGCTATGCGCAATTCACAGTTCTGAAATTGTGTTGATTCAAAATTTCGATTTAATTTCTCAATGCGAACTATGTAGATTATGGAACGTTACTGCAATTCATCATCACTCAAAACCACTACATGTCGATTAGAATTGAGAATCTTAGAGAAAAATTAAAATCTTCATTAACACTGTACATATTCATTGGGCAAAGATAAGGAAAGAAGCCTGTTGTAAAACTTTCGTATATACATGTTGGATGATGCTTTCAGTGGCATCCCCTTCAAGAGTTGAGATGGACACTAGCTATTTTGAAATTGTGAAGAAAAAAGGGCGTGTTGGATTGCCTATGTGAGTTATTCAGTTTTAGCTTGGTGGAAATGAAACTTCTATACTCCTTCATGAATGTTATAATAATAATTGGGTTGAAAATCGGATATAAGGCCAGAAGGATCGTATGAATGACTGTGGTGATTCCATTAGAGTCAATACCAGTGAATAGCAGAAATGTAGCAAAGCAATACGGTGTCATCAAGAATACGATCGGACAAGCAGCCTGGAAGAAGTAATGTTCAGGCAATCGACGACCTTGCAGACGTCTAGCCTTTCTAAGTACCAGTGGGCATCTGGGTAGGTGAGACCAGACTGGAAATGGACCTCGCCTCAACTTGCCTACCTGGTCGTCCCAAATTTTTAGTTAAGAGTTTTACTTGTTTCTCCCTTTCACCTCCTCTTACAAGAACTCTAACCCGAAGTCAGTTGGGATCCAGATGACGTCATGCCATCTGCCATGAAGCGCTTCTGTACTGCTCCCTCGAGGGTAGTGAGAAGACAAAAAAATCAGAAATTATTCGATACCGATCATTTTCCCTTGTTTGTCAGAGCTCGTTGCCGTCGCCCCGATGAATTTAAAATTTCCGGGAAGAAAATATCCCAAATATCAAGCCCCTTGTATAGTTGCATTTTGAAACCCTTGATGTCTCGAATGCATAACGGGAAAATCGAATATTACCTGTAATAGCAAAAGGAGAAACATTTGGCGCTGAAGCGATAAAAAGCTACTGGTTTGTGTGGCATTCTTCAGATAAAATTTGATTTTCAGAGCACAGAATACGTTTACCAATGTAATTAAGCTCATTAGAAGTAGCAGTTCGATAATCAGTGCCAGACGAAAGCTTCCCATACAGTACTGAAAGAAAACTGATCAACAATTCAGGCATACAGATCCTCGAAAATGAATTTCACGATTTTTCGATTTCTGATGCATCTTTCCATCTGCATCAACAGAAATAAATATTAATCAACTGGTTTGAAGAGCAGGAATGATGGCTTTATGTTAATTACTCAACTGGAAGAAAGAAAACTTTTGAAGCTGCCGATTAGTCCCTCGCTAAATTGCTACGTATTCGACCTGCGGATGCGGATTCGAAGGATGTAATTGGGATGCGTACCCACAGCAATGTTGTTTTGACTTCGACCCATCAAGTGTATGGCTGGTTCCATGTATAGTGCGGCACTTCAAGCCAATGCTTTGTGCCTTTCTAGCAAGGTATGGCCCAAAAGTATCAGTTACAAGCCATGTAAGGATTAAAGAACTGCTGGAATTGAGCGATGAAATGTAGCAGACTCGATGCACCATCACCACCCCATGTAAACCAAACTTTACTCACCGAAATTCGATGGGTCACGGCTTGAGTACTACGAAAATACTTTAAAGGAAAAATTANATATAAGCCATTAAGAAGGCGAGGGCAAGCGGGGGTCTCGGTAGTGTAAGGGATAAGAGCACGGTCCCCGGAAAGGACAAGTACGGGTTCGAGTCCCGTCCGAGACTGGAGTTTTGCCCACAAATCGCCAACCTTGTGAGACTTTCGCTTCGCGCACTGCGGCGTTAAAGCAGCAGTTAACAAAACATCAAGTCAATTTTGACTTCGTTCCTAGAAGTCATCCGACTTGAGTCGCCTCACCTTCAGCGAGAATCCAAAAAACGCAGCTCGACTCATATCAATACCATCGACGATAACGGTGCTTGTCACGAAATCGACAAAACGTTCATTAGGTAACATTGCCATTTTGAAAATAAAGAAAGCATTTCCTACGACGATTAGATTGAGCAAACAACCAATCAAAATAAACTGCTTTGTAGATACTTTTTTAACAAGTTCCACCCTGAAGATAAGTTTTTCGGTAATCTGAGATCGGAATATCTGAAATCACTTTTTGTCATTTCACTTGATCATCCCGTCTTTATTATATAATAAACATATAAAAGAGTCAAAGCTATATCGTGAATACCGAAGGCCTTAGGATTCTGACTGCTAGGAGGCTTCTGCTCTTTGAGGCTCCTAACCTCCCTTATCAGCTGTTATCGGTTTCTATCACCTCGCGATCCCGTCACATCCCACATCACCAAACAAAACGCCAAGATTCCAATTTGAACACTAGGAGCATTACAAACCCAATGGCTGTCGTATTCTTTGGCTCGTTATCAGCACATATCAGATGATATCAATTCTTGTCACCAAACATCTATTGTTCCTTCACATCCCACGCCATCTACCAAAACGGGAAGGCTTCATCCTTAACACGAAGTGAGTAACGGATCCTGTGACTTTCGCCTTCTACGGCTTCTTATCAGTTCCTCGCCCTCTACGGCTTCTTATCAGTATCTATCGACTGTTATCTTTTTCTTTCACCTACATCAGTGTTGCAATCCTGCCGAATGCATCCATCCCAAGTTTGAATCCTCTAGAACTCTCTAGATCTGAGGAGACAGGAGTTACGAATTTCCGGTTAAACACATACACACACTTACATACACACCCACCCACCCACACACATACATACACATACAAACAAAGAGTCACATTTAGTGGATAGTATTGTACAATATATAGCTGTTATTCCCTATTTCCCAAAAAAATTGCCAAAAGTATATTTTAGTCACGAAAAAAGTCTTGTTTACCTGCACAGGTGTAAATAACGATATACAAAGCTATTCGTTACCGAAAGACTCGTTACAAAAAATACCATACCATATAGAAGGATTAAGGTAAATGAAACTGATCGTTCATTAAATATGCCAGTACCGAGAAGTAATAAGACGTTGTTTTGTGATATGACCAGCTGGAAAGTCCCAAAAAATTTCTAATTATCATAAAAAGCAATCTACTTTATCATGTCAGTTTCTTCCAATTATTATTCTAATTGTAAGTATCAAATGTCGGATATCGAACCGCTTACCGGTATATTTAGAGCAAATGTGACTGTATAGATGACGTCTTGTAGGATAGTCAGAAGGAAAAAGTACTTGTAGGTCTTGATCCTATGCAAGGGACATCGAATATATACATAGAGAAAAATTAAATTTATCATTAGCGAGATTGCAGAAATACTATATACTGCAGCTTGAAAGAGACCGTCTGGCTTCGACGACATTATTTCAAGGAATAAAAAAATGTATCGGTAGATATGATTTCGGGGCTGTTTAGTATGAAGACAAGCGTCAGATTACATATGCCTATAATTACTGTGCTAATAGTAAGTTAGAATTGACATAGTCGTTACTACTAATGAGCATTTACACGCAGGGGACTCAGACGAAGAATGTTGAACGTGTGGTGATGAAAGCAAAATGAAGGAAATGAAATGAAATGCAATGATTTTTCTGGGGAATAAGAACTCTGAAATAGTAACCTGCCTGCTGCAAGCAATCGGATGAGCGGATAGTAGCATATGCAATTGTACGGCGTAGTTCAGCGAATTTTCACAAAAGGATTGGTCTTCCTGCTTGCATCGGCGCTCTGCTTTTGAAACGGAACAGAATTCCATGACTGAGGAGACCACACAAAAACTTTTTCGAGTAAACTTCAAGTGACAAAGACTTCAGAAACCTCAACAATCAAGAGCAATTTTTCGCAGCAAACTTTTCGTCTCGTACCGTATAACGTCATTTCACTTCCTGTCCTTGACCCGTACAGGCTTTGGCCTCCGTGACAGGAAAGTGGACACTACATTTGTCACGCGGCAATTCCTAGTTAGTTGTCTTGCTGTTCAAACCCGACCCACCTTACTCGCAACATTAGTAGTGAAAGGGCAATAGGATACAATAATGGGCAAAAATTAAAGTACATCTATAGTGCATCGTATAGCCCAGAAACGGTAAGAAATTCCAGTATCATTAACAACAGAGCAAGCTACATATGCTGCAACAAAAATGCTTGGAAAAATAAAGGCGGCTCATACAGATCCATACATTGGGCCCAATGTACAATGCGGCGCAATTGCATTAATGGCTTATAAAGCTCATTCCGTAGAAATACGTGAAGAGCATAGCCGTCTTCCCAAAAAATCTAAATCGACATTTCATAAACAATTGTTGAATCGTTGTTGAGACCAAAATTCACGTTTACAGATGGATTTTATGACACTCAGAATCGACGGGAGAAACTGTATTCGAAAAATAGCTACTATATAAAAGTAGATGGTGAGGGCTTTCGCCCACCGAATTTGTCTTCCAGTCTTCCTACATTGTAAGCTTCCTTTCACCTCCTATATATAGAATACCAGGGCTTATCGCTCTCCATTTTCCGTTGATGATATCATTTAGAAAATTGGAGTTTGGGCTTGCATTTGTTACGCTACTATTGTAAGAAATGCAATATCTTTCGCCGAGCAGCCTTCATCAACCTCTAAACAATCCTGAGATTCTCTTGATTCGGAATTCTTTTCAATTCCTCAACACAAACTGGGTTACAGAACATTACTACAAGTTATCATTACTCAATACCACTACATAAAGATTATAATTAAGGTCTTTATTAACATTGAACAAATTCATTGGAAAAGTAAAGCAAACAAGGAAAGAAGTCTGTTGCAAAACTACCGTATATACATAGTGGATGAAGCTTTCAATGGCATCCAACTCAGGAGTTGAAGTGAACACTAGCTATTTTAAAGTTGTTAAGAAAAAACGGCATATTGGATTGCCTATGGGAGTTAGTCAGCTTTAGTTTGGTGGAAAGAAAACTTCTATATTCTTTCATGAATGTAATAATAATAATTGGATTGAAAATTGGATATAAGGCCAGGAGAATCGAAAGCACGACTGTGATGGTTTTGTTAGAGTCAATACCAGTAAATAGCAGAAATGTAGAGAAGCAATATGGCGCCACCAAGAATACGATCGGACAAGCAGCCTGGAAGCATTAATGTTCAAGCAATCAACTACCTTGCAGACGTCGAACCTTTCTAGGGATTAGTGGGTATCTGAAGAAGTGAGACGAGATGGACCTCGCTTCACCTTGCCTACCTTGCCGTCGAAAAATTCTATTTGAAAGACCCATAACTTAAAGGCTTCATCTCAGAAAGCGCTTCTAAACGCTTCCTCGAGAGGTGGTAAGTCAAGAAAGTGTTCATACTACTTCAAGCTTCCCAGTGAATGGACGATCCTGTGTGACTACTTGTCATTTGATACCGATCACTTTCACTGGTTCGTCAGAGCTTGGAGTGTTTCGTCGCTGATGTCCCAATGCCTTTAAGATTCCCGGTAGGCGGCAATTTCAAATATCAAGCCCCTTGTAAAGTTGTATTTAAAACTCTTGATGCCTGGAATAAAATGTGGAATTTTAAGATTACCTGTAATAGCAAAAAGAGAAACATTTGACGCTGAAGCGACAAAAAGCTACTGGTTTGCGTGTCATTCTTCAGGTAAAATTTGATTTTCAGAGCACAAAATACGTTTACAAAAGCAATTAAGCATAGTAGAAGTATCAGTTCAATAATCAGTGCCAGACGAAAGCTTTCCATGTAGTACTGAAAGAAAACTTATCAGTAATAAAGACATAGACTAGTAATACAGACTAGTAGAGAGTAAATCAGACTCAGAAATTAGTTCTACAAAGTCGATTACAATTTTCTCTTGGGAACTGAGAATGATGTTACACACTTTTCAAGGTAATTATTAGAAACAACTGGAGGGATGACAACTTTCAAAGCCGTCGATTAGTTTCTTGCGGAAATGGCTTCGTGTTCAATTTGCTTCTAGCCTACAGCAATGATGTAACTCGGATATTTGCCCACTTAATCATAAATTTACGGAATTCGACCTATTAGGAACAAATATGGCTGGTTCAATATACACTGCGGCACTTAACACGTTGACGACAATGTCGCGCAATGGTGCGCGACAGCCAGTCTGTCTCATGGGACGATGTCGCGCGATGCTGCGCGACGGTGCATTCTTCGATTAAAGTGTGTGGTGCTCGTTCCGTTTTTTGTGCAGATTTTCAATTTAGGCTTATAAATGTCCAAAATAGCACCGATCACCTATTACATTAATTCCAAGATAGATAATACAAATACAAGACAGGATCAACCGCAGGAGTCATATCGTCACCGTCTAAACCACCTGCAGCATCATCGTCGCTGTCGAGTCAGCCAGTGGTCAAAAATTTCGTTGAGTCTTTCATTCCGATATCCATGACACTCATGATGACAAAAATAGTGGCAAGAATAATAATACTCTAAGAGATCCTATTTATATACCACTAATTCAAATTTACCACCGCCAAATTTGAAATTACCCCGAGTAGCCGAAACTTGGGCAAAATTTGAATACTGCTCTAAGCTTTGTGGATTCCAAATGTTTTTGAATGTAATCACTCACTTTTGCGAGAAATAACAAATTTCCAAAAAAGAAACAGTGTCGTCCCACGGGACAGACACGAAAAAATTGGCTCGTCCTCAACGTGTTAAAGTCAGAACTTTTTGCCTGCCTGGAGAAGTATGGCCCAAAACTATCAGTCACAAGCTACGTAAGGATCAAAGAACTGCTCTGGATTCCAGCGATGAAAGGTAGTAACTCTTAACGCCAATACCCCATCCCCAACATAACCTCAAAATTTACTCACAGAAATTCGAGGGATACTAGGGGGATACTATCAAAGCATAATGGACTTCGACTTCGGTTTGTAGAATTTATTCGACATGAGCCACCCTACCTTTAGCGAAAATCCAAAAAACCCGGCTCGACTCATATCGATACCATCGATGATAACCGTGCTTATCACGAAATTACCAAAACGTTTATCAGGTAATAGTGCCACATAGAAGACAAAGAAAACGTTCCCCATAATGATCAAGTTGGCCAGACAACCAAACAAAATGAACCGCTTTGACGAGACTCTTTGAACAAGCTCTGCTCTGAAGACTAGATTTTCAGTGAAATTGCAGACACTATGTTGTAGTTCCACTGCCTTTTTTCCCAGAAGTTAGCTTTGTTTACCTGCACAGATGTAAATAGCGATATATAAAGTTATTCGTTACCGAAAGAGTCGATACAAAAAATACCATGCCATATAAAAGTATTAAAGTAAATGAAACTGATCGCTCATTAACTATGCCTGTACCGAGAAGTAATAAAACATTGTGCTGTGATATGACAACCTGGAAAGTCCCAAAAAACTTGTAATCATCATAAAATGGCAATATGTCCTACCATTCAAGATCAGTCATTACTCTAACAAGGAAGGTCTTTCAGGGCGTGGGACGCTTTTTGAAAATGATTTTTCGCATGGTATAGGGGCATGAGCAGTAAGTATAAAATTATGGTCCATTTCCGCTAAAAGGCGTTCTGAATGCCAAAAAAGAGAGTGAAAATGACTTTATGAGAAATTGCGGTTTTAACACACTAAGCGTCATTTGTTCATTCATGGCGTCGACTGTCCGCACAGTAGAAGGGGCCAGCGGAGGCGACATTGAAAATAANTTGGCTCGTCCTCAACGTGTTAAAGTCAGAACTTTTTGTCTGCCTGGAGAAAAGTGGCCCAAAACTATCAGTCAAAAGCTACGTAAGGATCAAAGAACTGCTCTGGATTCCAG